TGCAGGTGACTCACAACAACACACCCATGAATGATGGAGGGGGTTCTTGGATGAGAAAAAAGACTGAAGGACAATGCAACAGAGGAGACATCAAACTGAGACATTCCATTAATATCATAAAACTTCAAGCAGCAGGCCATAAATTCCCAAATAGAGGCAGTAAAGTTCCTCAAACAGTGACAGAATCCACTTCTAAATCTCACAGTACCTTGACTCATCTTTGCCTCAAAAAGGCAAGTCCTCTAGATCTTTCGTCTCTAGACAGGTACAACCAGGGTCTTCCTGAACAGTCTTATTCTCCAGTTATTAAAAGTCCCCCTTTATATCCAATGCTTTCAAGATATTATCACAATCTTTCCATTGCTTGCTCAGCTCAGTTACAATTATGCTCTTGGCTTAGGGAGAATACACTAGCAACACACTGCTCAATGTATTGGTCTCCTGTATGGACAGATCCCTGATTACCCGGAGGGAAGACTCAGCCCATGGTGGTGCTATGCATCTCTGTAGGCACAAAGTGGCCTTAAACATGCAAAAAGGTGGAAGGTTCTTACTTCCCAGAGCTTCAGCACACTTGTTTGGTGATTGTATTTCACAGGAGAGAACAGGCTGTTAGCCCTTTGGAAAGAACTTTCTGGTCGAAGGAGGAGACAGACACCTGCCACTGTCAGCCTGGATGGCAAGGAACAGCAGAAGGGTGGTATAAACTCCAAATACTGAGACAAGATCAAGTGAAACTTCTTGCATACTAAGAGATGTATTGCCCTCCTGTTGCAATGAGCCCTCATTAACAAGAATCCCTGTAAAAAGAGACTGGAGAATAGGGTTTGGGTTTCAGCAGGGACACAAATAGCATTGTGCAGCCTTAGCATACTACACTAAGTGTAGCATTTCTCTGTGCTAATTCCCAGGCATAGGAAAACCTAGATGTTTGTGTTCTGAAAAAGTGTGTCACACAAGATTACAGTGCCAGAAAGGGGGAGGAGAGGAGGGGAGAAGGAGAGAGAGAGGGAGAGGGAGAAAGAGAGGGAGAGGAGAGAAAATAGGTAGATGAAAGATGTTGACTGCATCCAACAGGACTTGCAGCACTGCATAGGATACTAGTTAATCAGCAGTTGCCATATAGCCACAGCCTGTATGTAATGCAGTGGAAGTCTCACAAACATCCCTAGACAATAAGCAGACAGTAATGCCTCCAGAGATCTGCCTAGTCTTCAAATGTGCTTACCATCAGTGCCTCCATCTCTACATTTACATTATACAGAATTTAAACACCTTGGTAATGAGCCAGTTTGTTTAAATTATATAACTCCTTCTCCCACTGAGAGAAACAGCAGGTGTCTCTTGACCCAGACTGGGAAGTGGTGGTGCACGACAAACGGCTTTCAGCTAGGAAGACACAGCAAGGAGGCTTCCAATCACTGTCTAAAATATATTTGATATCAAACTTCCATGAAAAAGAAAAAAATTAACAAGGCCACATGCATGAAAAAGAATCCCAGATCTATTCTTTCATCGTCTTGCTATACTCTGACATTCTTTTTTTCCCCCAACTATTACAACCTGTGATAGTGTTGAGATTACCAGTGAGCATCCTTATGTACTAACCAAAAAGCAGATTCCTCTTCACAGGCTGTGTCAGACAATTTTTCTTATACAAATGTTTTCCTGCCTCTATTATTTAGCTATTTATGGCTACTACACAGACTATCTGCTAGGAGTTTACTGAAATATGGGCACTGGACTGCAAACAAGTATTGAATAAAGCTGGGCTATTTTACATAGCTCAGCAATAATTTCCATATGATTTCTTATCTCTGCAACCTTCTGTACAGCTTGTTTAATAGCTTTTTTTCCCCTGTTGCATTTGCCTAATTAGAAATTGTTAGGACTCTCCTGACAAAGTCAGTTTACAGTACAAAACACTGGTTTTACAGAATATATCAGTTCCAACAAACTCATTTTGACTGAAATTGTTTGTTTGCCTACCGTCCTGCTAGGAAAACCAGATTTTAAATGTTGAAGAGTCTCTATCTGCCATGTAGGCAAAACCAGAGTCTTTCAGGCCCCTGTGTTAGAGCACTGGGTTTCTGGAGATGGGGTACTAGCAGAGGTCATCAGATATTCAGTGTCACTGCCCAGATGAGTCTGTGAAACTGTGAGGTTTGTCATCTTATTCAGATTAAAATACTCTCCAAAAGCTTCCTTCTTTGATGAAGGAGTGGAAAGAGGCAGACTGTGTTTATGGAGTGCACTTTAAAATATTTTAACAGTCATCTCTGCTTGAGCAGGGATGTTGGACCAGACGACCCTCTGTGGTCCCTTCCAACCTTACCCATGCTGTGATTCTGTGATCTGAAATGGGTAAGAAAGCATTCTTTCCTCGTGTAGTCTCTGAACCTCTAAATCAGACTCTAGTCTGACTCCATCTATCCTCCAGTCTATCTCCATGTGTGTATTCCCTTTGTAAAGCAAAGCAACACTGTTTGATTTAATAAACTGAAATGGAGCCAGGTGTCTTTCTTACTGTTCACAGCAGCATGACAGCAGAATGTTCTAGGGTTTCACTGTTAGGTCACCTGGACCATGTGTTTTGGCTGTTCAGGCCACTTGGGGAACATTGTTAACAATTTTATTTTGAGAGAATAGCAGAAAAAATAATGAGAAATCATATGTTCTGAACAAAGATGGTCTCTGCTATCAAGAAATCTGTACAGTTACCCAGAGTGTTCATACACTTCTACCAATTAATTCAGAAGTGCTAATGCTACTATAAGCTGATTGACTTCTGATAGGAATACAGTCAATATCTAATGAGCCTTCTACTCTGCTGCCAAGGTTGAGCACCTTGGAGTGCCACAGTTATTGCTGCACACAGGAGTATAATAATCACAGGCGTCATGAGAGCAACAACATTTCTATTTACATGAACTGTTTTCAAGCTTGAAAGAAAGTGAGTAGGGTCAATAACATAACATGGAGGACAGTATTTTGTAATAAGTTGTAATAATAATAGAATTTGTAATAATAATCATCTGATAATGCATAATGTGGGTAATCCAATAATACAGTAATCTCATACTAGACGTTAATAATCTCTAACAATCAATGAACTTCTATAGAACACTCATCTAATTATGGACTTCCTAGAACATAAGCACTCAGGATTTCAGTACATTTAGACTTCATGCCCGTATAACTCGTAAGAGTCAGCATCTTTTAAGTAATCCCGATTTACTTGTCTCTTGATTTCCAATTATCACTCTTTCTCAGAGATAGTAATGGTTACATGTATATTTTAGAGCCTTGTATTTCAGATAAATGGCACAACTGCAGTGCTGTGATCCACAGGTCTTTAAGAAGGACAAGAAGAGAGGATAAAGACGGGAGTGGATTTGCACTCCGTGAGAAGAGGTTTAAATGCATGGCACCCTGCACATATTCCTGCAGATAATGCCAGTTAACTTCATTGTCAAGAGTGTAGCCAGCAGATCATTCAAAGTGATAATTATCCCAGTATGTGGCATAATGACACCCCATCTGCAGTCCACTTGTGGAACCATTAATGGTAGAAATCTTAACAAACTAAAGAGAATCCAGAGAAGGACTAAAAGGGTTCAGAGGCTGAAGGAAGCAAAGGCTGAGAGTACCGGGTTTGTTGAGAGGAAGATTAGAGGTGGATTTCATAGCTGTCTTCTGCTACATAACAAGAGAGTTATAGAGAAGATGAAGCCAAAGGTGCACTGCAAAATGACAAAAGACAGATGCCCAGTTGCAGCAAGAAAAATTCCATTTGGTTATGTGAGAGGGGAAAAAAAGAAATTAACAGGCTGCTCAGATATATTGTGACATGTCCTTTTTTCAAGATTTTCATGTACCAACTAGAGAAACTGAGTAACCTCTTCATACTTTGAATCTGGTTCAGATTTGGCCAGGAGGTAGGACTAGATAACCTTCAGAGGTGCCTTCCAACCTGAATGATTCTGAAATTCCAGAGTATCCAATACTGTCTGCGTATTGTGTGTTTGGATGGCATAACTATGCAAAAGGAAAAATTGATATTTTACTCTTGCTTATTGCTGTGTGCTTATACTTTTAGGGTGTTTATTATTTATTTAGAGTGGTATGGAAGCATTTGTTTTTACTCAATATGAAAAATAATTTTTTTTCTTAATGTGAACAAATTCAAAGCACGGGAAATGTTATTTTTACTGTGAAAGAACTTTGGTACTGACCTTACCACTAACTGACATTAAATCACCTGATAGTTAGCTTAGTCTCCCCTTTGTTTTACACCTGAGTAAAAATATTTCCCTTATGTCACAGAGTTATTATAAGAATGAACATGTCAATTTCTTAATTACATCCATGGAGTAGTAATATTTTGATAGCATCTATATCTCTTTCTCATTGAACTGGTTACCAGTGCAGTAAGAGTGGCTATGAGTAGGGAAAAGTCCTGCACCTTTCAGGTCTTCAGAATTCAAAGGCTGTTAGATGAATTGGAGCCTTCTAAATCCATTTAGGTTTCAGGACTTGGTCATCTGAAGAAATACTACATTTATCAAACACCCCAAGTTTCCTGTGCTGACATACTCAATGGTAATTGGCATTAAAGATCAATTAAGGAGGACATGTGTGGTATCCTTTTAATATTTTCTGCTCACCTAGTGCTTGTAGAATGGTTAATTTCATCATTCAACTGCCATTTGTGCCATGGGTAGTTATTTGGATATTTTTGGTAATCGCATTTCCTAGGCTGGGGCTCCATTGCTGCTTCTAAACAAAAATGAGGTTTTGCACAATAGATCTGTACTGTCACTTGAATGCTTTTTTCTAATTTTTCAGCAGCTACAGCTTTTTCTTACAGTTTTTATAGGAGGCAAGAGGCCACATGGGTGGGTGTAATAATGCAAATGAAACCAAATCACTCAGAGTTGCAACACGGCAATTCAGCAAGACAGAGACAAAAGCACAATATTACCATATGGAAACTGTACAATGTTGAAAGTGTTTGTTACTTTAATTCTAAGAAAGAAACAACAATGAATTGTAGAATACCTTGATGAAATTATTGTATGATAAGCAGCAAAGTAAATCACTGTAATGATTTTATATATACTTTATGCAGAAAGAACCCTTCCTGAAAACATTAGAGTTAGGGTTAGCACTTGAAAAACATTGTTTGGGGAAAATTTAGCAAATACCATCAAGTTACTTAATTATAGTGTTGCTCAGTAAGTTATTCTTATATTGGAATACAGAAAATCAGAGGAATGGATTTAACTTATACCATACATCCCAATTTATCTTTTCAATTAGTATGATTACCATAACACTCTATGAGAGACTGCAAAAACCTACCAGCATAGGCAGATTCTCTGGCATTCCTCAAAGGTGAAGCTCTTTCACCCACAAATTTAATTGACCTTCTTTTCCTTCTGCCTTTCACAAACTACAGATACAAATGCCAGTGTATGAGCAACATAATGCACTGAATAACAATTTGATCCTTTATCTGAAATGTTAAAACTAAGAATAGGTGGCTAGTAAAATTATTACTGAATTTAGGGGTCAGTAATACTTGACATTCATGTGAGACTTGTTCTCAAAGAGCAGAATTAAACTCCATAGGCAAATGTGATATACAACCTCACCCTCCACTGGTCATGGCTAATAACCTGCCCATCACACCAGAGGACAAAAGTTGGCTGTACAATAGAGCAGCCAGTCACCAGAGATTTCCCAGGAAGCTTCACACAGCAGTGCTAGGCAAACTTGTGAGAAAGAGAACTGATGTTACGTTCCAGTAAATATTAACAAGCTGTTGAACCTAAAGTGGCCAATCTCAAATCCATTCGACAAACACATCTCTTGTTGACTTCAGCAGGAGCTCAGCAGGGGTCAGTCTGCGGCCCAAACAGGAGGGCTAGTTAGCTGTTTAAAAGTGATCACACTTAACCACTTTACTGTAGCGTTCCTCTTTAGCCTTCATAACTTTGGAATTCACCAGATAATTTCACTGTTATTGAGTACTTATAGTCCCAATCCATTTATCCGTAAAGTATTTGTAGACAGAGATGCCCTTTTGGATACATGGATTACAGTGTCAATTGCAGTAGATTTGATGGTTGCAAACAAGTTATAAGGAAGCAGGGAAAGGAAATCAAGCAATGGTAGAGATCCGTGTTTGTTTCTTTATTCACCTACACTGAACTATTTCTATTAAACAGTCTGGAAAAATATTTCCATTTTGCAGTCATGTTTTTCTACAGCTGTAATGATCTAAGGCCATGTGCATAATAACATCTGTAAGGAGGGGTAATACTTCCTGCCAGATGGCATAGAATCTAATTTTCTAGCTATACTGATTGATCCAATAAAAGATGCTACCTGTATCTACAAACCTTGTCACAGGAAACTAACTGATGAGGATTAGAAGCTTTTTCTCCAATAACCTCCAAACCAAAATCTCACATGCAATCTCTCATCAGGAAAGCTAGAAAGTAGACTTGACTCCCTTTCTTCTCATTTGTTGTCCTGGGCTAAGACATACTACTGATTGCTTTAGTTTTATCCATGTCTCGCCAAGGATGCCCCCACTACAGTCAGTAGCAAGAAAGGCGGTGCTATGGTTCTTAAAACTTTTTGAAGTCAGTCTCACTATTCTCTTTCTTTTTCTCCATCTGACCTTCTCCCTACAGCTACCTTTTCTCTGCAACCCTCCCTCCAAAAACAGATCCCTCCTGCCACATCCTCATCTGCTCTTCCCCAAAATTTTCTTCAATACCTCCTTTCACACATAGGATACCCAGCTCCCACTGGAAAAGCTTGGCAGCTCAGCCTCTCCTCTCTGCAACACTTCATCTCTAACACCAAGCACCTTAGTCCCAAGAAAACCCAATGTTCAGCTGGAAGAAAAAGTACATCCCAGTTGTACCAGCTATTTACCATAATTCTGCCTTGTACTTGTGCCAGGCAGCAGAGTACATAAGTAGCATGCATCTGCCCCAATCAGAGGTATAAACACTAGTATGCTCTGGAAGTCAACAATAAAAAAATGCTCAAATCTACAATAGATAAAATACACTTTGAGGAAGTACAGATAGTGGCTAAAAAGTTAAAGACTGGCAGTCCCCAGAGCCTTCATATAGCTAGGGCAATTGCCTGCTACAGCAGAGGTGATAAAGCTCTCTTCTCTAGCCTGCAAGGGACTTGAAGGTTTCAAAATCAAGCAGAATCAGAAAATACGGTATGTGGAAAGAATAATTTTATTAATCTCCCCATAAGAAAACTATTGGATAGGCCACTGTAAACAGAAGCACACAATCCTGAGGACTAGGAGGAAAGTATTTTGTTTGTCCGTATCACAAAACCAAACAAATATCTAAGCCTGTCCATGCCTCAGGCACACTATGACAGGTTGGTTTAGTTTTCTACCTCCAGCCACCAGCAGCCGGCAGTGCAAAGCTCCTCTCTTCATGGTCACCATCATTTTTCCATTGTTGTTCCCTGATGTCCAGATAACTGTCTATTTTTGGAGGAGCAGACATCCAAGAATCTAAGGTCTTTGCAAAGGGCAGCTGGTGATATGCTGTACTCTTCTTATACAACTTACATATTGAGCACTTGTTCAAGCAACAAAACATTTAACTCCCTCTTGCCTCATGTGTGCAGCTGATGAAGAATCTCCAAATCTAAATAAAAAATGAAAGCATAATTATTAAATCAAAGGGTAACTAATATATTCTATCCCTGTATTATGACAATATAGGTAGTAAGGTTTTTTTTCAGCTAATTCAACATCCTATTAAGGGTGTTCTAAGGAAGGATTAACATGATAGTGAGAATGGGAAAAGATCATATTTAACACCTCAACTTTTAAATGCAAAGATTCATGACAGTCTTGAGTTTTAAATGATTGGTTGATCATATAAGACACCACTCAAAGCTGTAGCTGAAAGCTTTTGGAAATATTCATTACATGACCCATAACAATAGTGGTAAGACCAGTGAAACTTATTAAAGTTGTCATCTTAGCACGTAAAAGTCAAGAGAATGTCAAAAGTACATCTCTTCTGTGTATAAAACTATCAGCAAATTGAATTTAGCAATTTATTAGGGAGGCACTAGGAATCAGATGCTTTGTTTTAGCTACCTCTAAAACTGTGATTCACGTAGACGTTAGCAGCTACTAACATGGAAATTATTAAAAAGAGAACAAGCTACAGAACAGCTGAAACTGTCACCTTCCTATATCTCACTTTCAGGCCATCAGTTTGGAAGGTTGGCTTTCATGCTGTCTTTCCTCATTGCTTTATACAAGGTTATGTTCAAACTGGGGAAATTAGAAATCATCTCTAAGTCAAACAGGGTCTGAAATCTGTCCACAAATTTGTTCTCTTTCTCTAACCTAAATTTCATAGCCCACAGAATAACAGTATCATTCTTGCACAAGTGATCAAAAGTTAGGAGGAGTTCATCCAGGAACGGATGGTGGTAAACTACATCAGCAGCCATAATGTAGTCAAAATGACAGGAAGACCTAGGAAAGTTCTTTTCCAGATCAATTCCCCAAGACAATTCCTTAACACAAGGCTGGTGCTTGCTTTTCAGCTTTGTATTACGGAGAACGTTGTGCTGAAGGTTTCCCAGTAATTCTGGCAAATCTGTGGCAGTCACAAGGGCACCTGTGACATGGAGAAAACAAATGTAACATTTTAATATACTTCAAGACTTGAGTAAAAGTCCATTCACAAAAGCCACTGCACAAGGAACTCGTTTTATCAAATAGCTCTCACTGAGGCTAACAGAACAATGTAAATGCTCCCAATAACTCTTAGACATTGTGCTTGAAATAAATACTTGGTTTGTGATAGTTCTATTCTACAGATTGCCATCTAAGTGCAGCTGGTGGGGAGAAATTATATACTTATTGTGTCTTGATATCACATTGGTTAAAAGTACAGTGACCAGCTAAGGATAGAGGAATACCAGTTACTGACTCCAAGAAGTCAGCATAAGATTTAAGCATTGCCTCAGGTTTCTTCCTTTTCACAGAGAAAGAAGCTTTCTCAGACTACAGAAAGCTAAAGTTCTGTTAAAATGCAGACACCACTGACTTGGAATACTCTTGAGGAAGAATAGGTTACCATGAGAGAAAACACAACAGTGTCTGTAGCAGAAAAATCAAGATGTTGAAGGAAAATACTGAAACACAAATGGATAGAAAGTGACCTGGCATCTACGAGCTTCTTTGGTAAATGGAAGGGGGTGCATTGGTCGTACTTACATCTGGCTCCAACTGACATCCTGTGAAGCCACTAATTTCTTATTTTGGTCCTCTGTTTAACACAGTTAATGACAATATATTTATTCCTTTCTTGCATCAATACACTCAGACAAAAAAAAAAGTGACAAAGCATGTTTCCAATTAGAATTTACTGTTTCTCGGTCTGGGAAGCTCTCAAACAACAGCTTTTTAGAAGAACTAAGCCACTTCCTTTGTCCTCCACTATTCATCTGAGAGCTATTTCTAAGACCATAACAGCAATGGCACATACTCACCCAGTAAGCTGGCTACTATGGAGACCAACCCAGTTCCAGCTCCAATTTCAATCACATTTTTGTCAACCAAATTGTATTGTTTAGAATTAGTTTCCAAAAAATAACACAGAACAAGAGCCTGTAGTGGAGGAAATCCGTGAACATACTGAATAAATTAATTAAATAAACCCCTTCACTAAATATGCATTGTCATTCAAAAGCATGCAAAAAACCTGTTGTCTGTTCAAATGAGCAATATCCATTTAAACACTATCCCTAAAGGATCACAGTTCACTATGATCTTTGAGCTCTATAGGTCACAAAATAAATGCCACAACATGCCTCCATGTAGGTTAGTAAATTATTACAGCCAGAAGGAACAACTACAATTAGATAATCTGTCATTATGCATAACATGAGCTGTAAAATTACAGTCAGCAATTCCTGCTTATAACTGGAACTTCTGATTGATTTAAAAGGTGTCCTTTACAAAGAGATCCTGACATAAGGACTGCTTGTGAGAGAAAATCCACAATGACCCTTGTTAAGTTTTCCAGTGGTAAATTATTTCTACAAATAATTAATTATCATAATGATTCAAAAGGGACGAATAGATTTACCCCCTTTTCTTCCAGTTCAGTTTGTTTTCAGTTTCTATGTGCTTACCTCGTTAAGCTTAGCAAACTTTCATAGCAAATATAGCCACAAAGAGCCCTCTACAACAGACTCCTTACACAAGTATTTATAAACTGTGATTAAGAAGCCCCTTCAGTCTATCTGCCCTGTCTCACACTAATCAATGAATTTTAGTTCACTGTTGAAATAGAAATTGTTAACTTTATTTCTCTGGCAAAGATAGTTTCGAGCTTGTCTCCCATATTTTTCCCCAGATGATGACAATTACATAGTCTCCACTGACAAATATATATGATGGTTGCCACATCCTCTTGCCATTTGGAAAGGTTATTATTAGTGGCTTGGTCTGGCACAATAAAATTACACTCTTAGTTTTGCTTTTAACTAATTAAGAAGTAGAAGGAAAGGAACAGGAGTGTTGACCCAGTGTTAACATTCTAGAAATTCGAACAAAGTTTTTGTTTTCTACCTCTTAATTCAGACCATGAAAGAGTAGGTAATGCGAACTTTGGTAAAGAAACAAGTCTGTGAGAACTAGGACTAATTAAAGTCAGGTTCCTATAGATTGGGTCTGATATTTGACTAATATTTGGCACATTATATTAGGATTTCCTGTTATTCCATAAATTCCTATAATTCCTTCCCTCAGAGTTCACCCTATTCTGCTGTAGAAACCAGCTAGCAAAATCAAAGTTCCTGAGAGTTCTGCCTTCCCATGAAACATACAGAAACTTTATTTTCATTAAAGTTTCTCCCCTCTTGACAAATTTGGCTGACATTTTTCATAAGAGTTCAAGTAAAGCTAGATCAAGAGGAAGGGAGAACATCAAGAAACATAGATTGAAAGGTTGTCTTCCTTACACAGCAAAACTGGCTAAGCCCCTCCAGGAAAAAAAAAAAAAAGGTGCTTTTCAATGAAGCCCATGATTCTGTGAGAATAATCAGCAGCCAGCCAAACTTTCCATGAGGACATGCACTGACATCACTAAAACATATAGTAGAGATTATTTGTCCAGATCTCCTAAAATAAGGAATATCGCAGCTGAACTATAGCCATACTTCTTAAAAACAGTATGAACCTGGGACGCTGATACAGCTGGGACAGAAATGGAGCCTCGTGGGTCTCTCCTACAGGGACTGTTCCCTGAAAGCCACAAGTGTCAATGGTTTATCGTGGCACCTCTTGGTGCATTCTTTCAGTCTTAATTATTTCCAAACAGTCAGTTAGCTACATTGTACAGATTCAAAACCTTGAAGAAGGCTTCTTGTATGGTGGATGTGCTCACGGTTCTTATAGCAAGAGCCAAGGACAATGGTTCTCTCCCACTATATTTCTGGCTGCTTAAGCAACTGAAAGCTCCTTTTCCCTTGTCTACATATTTATATGGTAAATTTGTTTCTTACATGAGTAGCCTGCGTAGCTTCTGTGAGTGCTAATATCTTGTGAGCGTGTAGCATAGTGGTTTCCACAACCTGGATCTGCCTGATACACAGTCATCTGTATTTACAAAACGTACAGAAATGCAATAATCATAAAACTGCCATATTTCCTTCAAAATATGCATGTAATTGCCTAATAGAATCAAAAGTTACTGGTAAATGAGGAGGGGACACAAGATCATACACCTTGTATGACTGGGGCACAAAGAAGAAATACCATCTAAGCTTTCAGAACCACAAATTCAAACAAAATCAGGTTAAGTTCAGGTTTGAGATTTCCAGAACAGAGACAGAGAAGCACAGAATTATTTCCTTGAGTTTACAACATATAATAAAACATATTTGTCCTACAAAACAAATTAAAAAGTGCTACAAGACTCCAAAAATAAAAAATAACAATACTGCAAAAATATTGTACCGATGGCCAGACGACTGCCCCATAACAATCAGTGGCTTCTGTAATTCTTATCTCATGGCCAGCAAAGTGAAAGCCTTCCCAGTTCTCATGAGTTATAAGAGCAGGAAAAAACCGCCTCCTCATGATTTCTGCAACTATCTGTTCATCCTCTTTTTCCCCTGGAAGAAAAAGTATAAAAAGTCAAACAGGCTGAGTGGACTGATAATGAAACTACCAATTCATGTTGAAAAGTTTATTTGGAAGCAAGAACATGAATTACATCTGTAAATAAAAATACATTTCACCATTAGCAGTTTGCATGATATATGACAATTCTCCTGAATTCTAATTGAAGTTTTAAGTTTTATGACTAAATAATTTCTTTCTATTTTGCTGAAGCAGCTAAGTTCATAAAAAGTAAAGAAGGGAAATGTCACCATACGTTGTTTTTCCTTTCAGCAATCCAAAGGAAATTTTTAAACTTCTTTTTCCCTTCAAGAACAGCTGCCCTAGTATAGGTACTCATGGTCTTATGTGCCCAGATTTTTCATTATTTTCCATATCCTTTTGCTAATCACTTTCCCCACATTATGGTTCTTTTTGACAGTAAACAAAAGGAGGCAGAGTATCATTTATAAGTCTGTCACAAAACTTGTGAAACAGATCCTATCAACACAAATTATAACAGACAGGAGTGAAAGCACTAGTGTTATCAGGAAAGCTTATCCACCCACCCCAACAGAGCCCTGTCAGAGGTATTTTTTCCAGTTGGCTTGATATCCTGAATGCCATTCCTGTTGCTAAGCAAAGGATATTTATGCTAGCTAACATAATCTTGGATAACTCTTCTAACAGGAGAGGATTCATTCTTTTTTAGCTGCATACCAAGCTAGTTTCAGTTTTGCCATCATCACACAAAGCAGCACCACAATGTTAGGAAAAGAAATATGTAAGTGAAGTTGTCTAGAACATTTTCTTAGCAAAGTCTAGATTCATTCCAAGTTTTCACAAGAATTTTGCTTTCAGTGCCAACTACGATCTGCTGGCAAATCAGCTAAAACAAAACATGTTTACAAGCTACACCTTCTAGAAAGCATGCTAGAGATTTAGATAACTGGGTTACCACCTTGTCCAAAGCAGAGTTTCTGGATCAAGCCTGCAGCCCCCAACAAAATCACAGATATCAATATCAGGATCTGCATGGAAATTGTAGGCCCAAATGCTGTTAAAAATGAAAACATTTATGCTTTCAACAGCATAAAACACATTGGTCTACCAAAGATTCTTCATATTTTCTTCTCCCTCAAATCATTGCAGTCACAGGACATGACAGCCACAAGTGTCGTCACTTGTTTTGCCATATGCCTCAGTAATTTTATTGCTAACATATTGACAAAGTCTCTCTCCCTTCCTTGTGATACAAGGCCCAAGGAACAAAAGCAGGAGTGAACTAAGAAAAAGATGATACCAAACAAAATTACATGAGGAAGATGTTCAGGCTCATTAGCCAGTGCTTTAAGCTTGTAACTCAACTTTAAGTATCAGAGGAGACTAGAGAAAAGCAACAAATGAAGAAGAAAAAGCAAAAATATTCAATCTTAGTATGTTGACCCTAAGACACAAAACCCCAACAAAAACCAACTAACCAACCACAGTACTCCAAGAATTTATTGTGAGGGGAGAACCCTAATCATGGGATACAGCAAAATTAAAAATAATGCAGTGCATATTCTACTGGAAAAAAAATACAAACAGGTTTTTATAAATTTTATAAAGATAACTAAAATAAAATGCTCAACACTGAAACTTTGGTATTCTAAAATGTTAGGAAAAGTAGTATGTGTCAGCCCATTATATCTTCTTCAAGCCTCTAATGCTAAGCTGAGAGAAAACACATGAGTCATTGTGCCTGTAATCAGGGAGCTCTTGGCAAACATGAATTAAATGTCAGAGAAATGCTGCTTCAGGGCAAAATTAATCTTTTTTTTTTAATTAAAGAAATAATATAAAGCTGTCTTATTACTCATATCATAAGTGTATTTAATATATCGTCCTGTTTCCAAGCATACCAGATACAGACTGCTTTTAATCTTCTCCTATTGCTTGGAGCAGTCTGATCTTGTTCTGCGATCATTACTAGCTGGGAAGTAAAAGCTATTCTTTCTATTACTTCTCAATTACAGCCATTTTTCTTGATTCTTCCTCCCCTGACATCAGTTTTTGATCCAATTTTGTTGAGAAGCTGGTAACTTATTAAGTCTTAACTTACAAAGCTTCTGCCAGAAGATCTATAAAACTTTAGCAGTATTACAGCTGCCCCTCTAGCGCTTAATAAACATTTCCCATCTATTCCCTACGTGATCAGCAAACTTTCTATTTCAGCCTTGTGTAGCACCTACACTAACAGAGTTTGTAGGCCACTGCTTCCTTCCTGAGCTAAACCGTTGGCACTCCTAAAGGAAGAATGCCCAATCTGCTGATTAATAACACCATTTAAATTTTTGCCCATCTTATCCCTTTGGTAATCCTCCAGGTGAGTTCCCTGGAGAAGCTTACGCAATTTTTTATTTTTTTTTATTTCCCCTTAAGATGATACTAGTATAGTGAAGAATAAAGAAGAGTATCTGTTTCATCAGAGTTACCATATGGTAGGCAGGCTTTAAAACCTGAGAAACTTTATCAGGCCTGGGATTCTAATGATCCTGATGAAGAGTGCTGACAAAATAAGGAGTGCAGACTTTTAGTCAGATTCACTTTCCTTCATACAAGTTTACATACTGCAAAAGACACTCCTCTGTTTGTTGCTTTATATCTTTCAAACTAACTTCTTGTGGCATTATGCAAAGGGAAAGAAGTTAATTTTTCTGTAACTGCCTTCAGAGCAGTCAGAACAGAAAAATAAAGAACTAATGGAAAATCTGTCAAGTGACACAAAAATTACTATAAGAGTAAGTAAAATCCAAGTGAGATGAAGTCTTCTAATACCTGAAAACACTAAGAAAATTCTGCTGGTACTTTGATCAAGCTAGTTTCTTGATAACAGATGTAAAAAGCCAAAAGGAAGTTATGCTCCTGGAAGTGTTTATCTCTGTGTTCATATTCTCTTGTTAAAAAAAAACAAACTGAAATTATGGCTCAATGAATGATTCTAACGACGTTTTAAGACAAAAAGAAAGACTCATCAGTAGAACAGGATCAGACAAGAGAGGAGGTGGCTTGAATGACTTGGCTGTCAATTCTTCTAAGTATGGAAGTGCATAATGAGCATTTCCAGCAATACTACTCAAGCACCCATTCTGAACTGTCAGAACTTAAAGGTCTGCTAGGACTGGATCCTCCCCTCTTCATTTGCCTGTGCTTGACCAGGTAGGTTTGCCCTCACTCCTCTTCTGTGATGTGGAGAGGCATGAAAGTGGTATGTATATGTATATAGAATGATTTTCTTCAGCCTATTTATCTATTTGCATGAGCATGTATACAAAGAAACCACTGGAGTTTCAAGTCTAAAACCTTATTTATAGTAAAATGAGGCAATCTGATCCTGTTCAGGTAACACAGAAATTGAGATAGTTTTTCTTAGTGAAACAGATAGCACTCCTTTGGTCTTGAACTTGTGTTCACAAAGAAGTTCCCATCTATAGCTGCTGAAATTCTTTAAGAAATAGAATTTTAATGTCTTTAAGTTGCTTAAGACTTTATGCCTAATAGGCTAATTTCTTAAGTGTTCTTTGAAATACTTCAGATAAAGTATTGTTTATTATAGAAGTCTAACCTTGGAGTCAAAAATCTTTGGAGTGTGTTGTTTGAACTCCCTGCATTTTACATCAATATCAGGGCTGAGGGAAAAAAACTCAGGTACTGCTGACACATCTGGCACTGTATCAACCACATCAAAAGAACGAAAGCATCATTCTCAAAGGCAAAGCAATCATCATTATTACAACTGAAATGCAAACACAGTTTTCCAAAGAGACATACTAAATCAGGTGGAAGACCGGAGTTGTGAAGTCAGTGGCAGGTTAGTTAGAGAAACTTGTGTCAAGCTGCAAAATCTTGTGTAGGGAGCCAGAGGATTTTGCTGACACATTCACAAGTAAAATGTTAAAATGTGACTTTAGTTGTCTTGTTACAACAAAACTTAAAGAAAGAAAAGGATGTGAGTTCTGCTGAGACAGACCTGGAGAAGTCCTTCAAGTGGGAAGGAAAGGCAGAAGAAAATAACAGGAGATAGACCAGGTTAGAATGAAAAAAGTTGCAAACTGCAGCATTTTTTTCTTTAACAACGCAGAAAGCTGTCTTTATCTTCACACTTTTTGATTAGAATGAGTAGAAATAGCACTTGTTTAGAAACCAGCTACATGATCAGCTGTTCCCTTTACACGACTTGTCACATAAAAACATGCCTGGAAGTATATAGCTCCACTAGGAAATGGTAACCTTAAAATTCAGTTAAGTATCCATCAATTAATAGCATATGTTAAATCTCTCTTTGCATAACTAATGATATTGCTTACATTATTGCATTCTCCACAGAATGAAAAGCAAGCAGAGATAGGCACCATAAAACAGCACTTAAAATGCAGGGAAAACAGCAAAGACAAGGGGGGTAAATCAAAATTACATTAAAAAAAAAAGTTACCATTGTCTAAATACCTGAATTAAAATGTGGCTAAAAAAGTAAAATGACCCTTATACATGAAAGCTATTAAGAAGATACTAGCAGTTAACATCCATTTTCAGACTCACTCACAAATAGCACACAGAGTAACAAAACATATTCCAAATACTTTGCTAGTGGATTAGAACAGCATTAATTCAGAAACCACAGTTTCAACCACTGATTCATCAAAACAGCCTACAGAAAAAAAATACATGTTAGCCTCTTTCAAGTGCTGCTCTGACCCTATTTAATCTCTTGAGGTCAAATGGTGTCACAGCCCAAGGTCATAAGGAAATAAGATCCAATCATTTTCCGATTCTCTCCAGCTTTGATGGATCTTCTCCAACTGGCAAAAGGAATGAAATTCAAGACTTAAGCATGAACTTGACCTCACAAAGTTCAGCCCTACAACAACATACTCTCCCTTCTTCAGAAGCAATATAATCTCACCTATGGAGTTTAGATTTAAAATGTAGCATAAATATTTGTACTTACAAATATTTTAATACCATGTATCAA